GATGAAATATGCATTGCAAAATTGTGTTAAAGCTTCCTGAAAATGTGATACCAATGGAAAAGGATGGCTTTGTAGAAGGACTTAATTTAACTAGCCGTCAGCTAATGTATGGGCTAAATTGTTCTGCACAAGGTTATCACAGGATACAAATAAAGGGGGAGAGCAGGTAATCAGATTAGTAAAAAAATATGAAAATGTATGTGTATGTCATGACTGTATAGGATGCATTAACTGTTTTCGTAGATCTATCCCTACTCCACACTGACTCACAAAGGTTAGGCATATTTATGCTGACACAATTGCTGTATCTGTTATATAAATGCTTTTCTAAATACAGATGCTCTGAAAAGTATTATTCCAGTAAGAGGGCCTAGGCCAAGTGCCAGGTGTTAATCAGAAAGTGTTAACTCAATTGTATGTATATAAACTCATATAAAACTTTATTCTAATCATATCGCTTAGATTAAGACACAGAAATGGAAATTGTTCCCTTCTGAATTTGGATTCAGGTCCATGTTATTTGGGCAGGCAATCTGAAGCAATAGCGGAGGCCCATAATAAAGACAGCATTGATAGAACAGCATCTGTTCAAGGAAAAAGTTATAGGATCTAAAAAATGAAAACACTGCTCAATGGTTAAGATGAAATGGCTTTATGGGATAGGCAGAATTCTCTAAATGACCCCCCTTATGCTTATGTTATTTAACCAAACACTAATCTAGGGTCTGCTGTGAAGGGGCTTTGCAGGTCAATGGATCTTAAAATGTGAAGGTTACCATGGTAACACTCAGATGAGTCTTCTAAAGGCTGGGAATTTTTTTCACCTAGTAACAGAGGAGGAAGTCAGAGAGATTTGACGTGTGTGAAGCACTCAACAAACCACTGCTGATTTAAACACAGAAGTGGCCATGTGTAGGCACCAGAGTGACAGCAGGCAGCTGAGGCCATCCCAGAGGACAGAAAACAGCAAGGACAAATGGACAGAGACTGCCCTGCAATCACAAGGAATCTAATTTTTCCAACAACCATTAAACTTGAAAGAGGATCCCAAGTCTCAGACGGGAATTGCAGACCAAGCTAACACCTTGACTTGGTTTTAGAGAGAATCCAGCTGACCACCAGGGCTTCTGACCAATAGAAACTGAGATAATAGATTTGTGTTGTTTTAAGCCATTAAGTTTTTGTCAATTTGTTGCAGCTGCAATAGAATGTGAATGGTGAATACACTTTTGTTATTAAATAAAGATCATTTGCTTCCAGCTCTTGTCCTTGCTAGATTGGTGATCTACCATTTAGCTCGATAATTCTCTGTCTTTTTGGTCTCAGAACATCTTTAAATTCTTAAAAATTACTGGGAATCTGATATTTCATTTATGTAAGTATATTTGTTGGTGTTATTATAATAGAAATCCAAACTGACAAATTTATTAGATATTTACCTTTAATTAATTTAAATGGCTTCCAATATAGGTTAATATAAATATGATATTCTTCATAAGATATTCTTATAAATAATCTTTTATTAAAAGTAACTTGTTTCACATTTTTATATTCTTAAAATATTCAGCTAAATAGAAAGCCGAATTTTATATTTTCTTTATTTTATCTGTTGCCATATCACATATCAGCTAGCCTCTGAAAAAATTCAGTGTGCACTCATGAGAGAATGAAGGTAAAAAAAAAATATTAAAACTGTCTAAATAGTATTGTGAAAATAGTTTTTAATCCCACCGTCTCTTTGAGAGCTTCTCAGAAATTCTCAGGGTCCCTCAACCACACTTAAAGAATAGCAGAGAGTATATCAAAATGTCTGTCTTCGTATCTGTAAAATGAGGATAATGATCAGATTAAAATATATAAAGCATTTATCACATTTTCCAAAACATAAAAAGGGCTCAATAATTTATCCTTATGGCTATTTTAATCCATTTTCATTAGGATCCATCACTTCCTACTGGAAACGGAAATAAACCTTGGCATTGAGAGATCTGTTCCTTCTCAGAGTCTTCACACCTGGTTCCGTGAAAACCAACTCTCAACTATCTGAAAGTCAAGACTTCCTTTGTACCTTCATGGAGATTGTAGGAAAGCATAAAGTAATAAAACTAAAATAATTTTAAGAATTTGGATATTATAATTTGTGATATCTCCCTCGTGTTTATGACCCTTGAGACCTGTGAAAGCTTGTACAGAAATAGTGTGATGCCATCATCTGCCCGGCCTCGTCCTCATCGTTTTCCTGGGAGGACAATCAGAAAACCTTTGTTTTCCTCCAGAGAGAAGATCCAGAGCTCTTCTCACTACCCCTTAAGGAGAAGACAAATAAGTAAATCTTATTATCCTTCTGGGAATTTAATTCTCAATAGAAACTCAAGAATGTTTTTATTCATCTGATTCTAAAGTAAAAGCTATGCTCCTGGAGTTAGCTGAAGAAACTTCAGTGAGTCCAATGAATTCACCCACATCTGGAATTTAATCCTATGAAGGCTGCCAGAGGAAGTAGGAGTCTATAGTCATTTTAGTGGTATGTTTCTCATCTCTGCAGGGTGTATTCTAGGTCAAAGTATTTTCCTGAGGGAAAGTCTAGTGCTATCATATTCTTTTATAGAAGATACTCATTTCTGCTGGGAGGTGGTTTCCAGTACAGGTAGTTGAACTAGGACAAGATGACTGCAGAAATCACCATGGCTATGCTGGAGGAACAACATCTCTGGGTGACCTTCCTTCTTGAATCAAAATGTAGATTGCAGGTAGCTGAAATAGACACCAATGTCCCTCTCTTCCTCCCAAGGAACGTCTTCCTGCTCTGCTGTCAACAGGGGTCCCAAGACTCCCCCAGCACCTCTCACCATCGCCTCCCAATATGCATTGTTGGCGGAGGTCAGAGCTAGCCCCATTGTCTCAAGGAGAATGAGCTCAGAGAAGGAGGGGCTTTTTATCCAGGTCTCTGCATAAGGCTCTGAGACAGCCAAATTAATGCAAGGACTTTATGCATTACCTAGCCTAAATAAAGCTATACTGGGCCAGGAAAACCCTTTCTCAATGGAAAAGAAAATTCTATCAACAGCTACAGTATATGTTTTTCTATCTGAAAGAGTTTAAAAGGTAAGTTTGTCATAGAATTATATCTTTGGGGGGACTATCCCAGGCTATCACTACACTAAGAGTTGGAGAAATGGAATAGCGCACTCTAGCTGAAGAAACATTCTGGGTTGCAGGACGGCCTGGCTGGAAAACAGCTCATACTGATCATGAAAACCTTTTGTTTTCTGAACTGCTATTGTTTTATTTAATCTACTGGGAAGGTGAAATGTAGGCATCATTGCTGTGATATTTTGTTCTCCATTCCAATGTGTTAGCCACTTAAAGATGTTAATCTGCATGCAATTTTATTTTTTTGTGTTGTCTGTTTATTAACAGCAAATGGAAAGGATAATAACAATAAAAAGATTGAATAGGCCTGGCATGGTGGCTCATGCTTGTAATCCCAGCACTTTGGGAGGCCAAGGCAGTTAAATCACAAGGTCAAAAGTTCGAGACCAGCCTGTCCAATATTGTGAAACCCTATTTCTACTAAAAAATACAAAAATTAGCCCAGTGTGGTGGCACACGCCTGTAGTCCCAGCTACTAAGGAGGCTGAGGCAGGAGAATTGCTTGAACCCAGAAGGCGGAGGTTGCAGTGAGCCGAGATGGAGTCACTGCATTGCAGCCTGGGTGACAGAGTAAGACTCCATCTCAAGAAAAAAAAGATTGATGAATCCAGAAAAAGTCACCAGACTAACATATCAAGAAACAAATATTTTTACTGGGTAATAATAGATTGAGTTATCTTCAACAATATTGTTATCCTTTATATTCAGAAATTAAATGTTTCAGACACAGAGTATTATGTTCAATTCTGTTTAAGAAAGATTTTGCAATATGATTTTACTATCCCCCACTTGTCATACTATAGGAATACATCTCATTGTAACAAAATAATTTATTGCATATTTATATAGACCCTCTTCAAAATCACGTACTTAACAGAAATTTAAGAATTTTTGATTTTGCCTTTCTGTTTGAGTTATTGATCTCAAAGAAACACTGCCATGTGACTGATCCGTCTTTGGCTTAGTTTGCAAAAGTTCACAATGCTGAGATGTGTATCTTCAAGCCTACCTCTCAGGTGATTTCACCTCCATATGAAGCACTTGCTTCAAAAATCCATTACTGTGAAATTGTCCTCAAGCATTGATTCAAAGTAAGTGTATGATGCTATAGTTGTTTTTTACTGCTTGTGTAACAAATTACCACAAATGTGGTTGAATAAAACAATAGAAATTAATTCTTTCACAGTTCTGGAATCTAGTAAAATTTTGCTTTCTTTGGGAATCCTAAAGGAGAATATGTTCATCCTTCTTCCAGCTTCTGGGGATGATCAGGATTCCTCAGTGTCTGGCCACATCTCTGTCTGCCCTGTCTTCACATCGCCTTGCCTCTTCAGCAATTCGTTTCAAATCTCCTTCTGCCTTTATTGCATAAGAAATGTTGTTTTTGGAATTAGGGCTCCTTCACAAAATTACGGATTATTTTAAGATTCCTAGATTAATCGCATCTGCAAAGACCCGCTTTCAAAATAAGGCAATATTTACAGGTGCTGAGGATTAGGATAGGGATATATCTTTTTGGGGTCATCATCAGTCTACCACATATACAGTATGTTTAGGTATGGCCATTTTATCTACAGACAAAATATAGTCCCTCTCATTATGCCAAATCGAATATATCCTTTACAAACACTGTTTTTAATTATTTTAAATTTTCAAATAATCAAATTTTAACTGTAATTTTTTAAAAAATATATAAATCATGTCTTGGCTAAGAGATAAAAATTTATATTATGTATATTTACTATATCCTATATATTATATGTGTATAGTTTATGGAGTACATTTAATATACATATAAATGACTAAATGTATAACTAACTAAAAATGTTGTTCATTTAAGTAATAAACATTTTCTGGGTGTCTACTTTTATCTATAATTATACTTATATTTATAAAATAAGTATAAAAATCTTATACTTCTTTATGTCTCTTATAATATTATATTGCTTGTGTAATATTATAATAGACATAAAGAAGTATAAGATACATTACCATTCATTATTGGGTGAAGGGGTATCTCCATTCAAATAAATGACATTTGGTATCAATCCCTCTTCCTCTATGATTTTTACCTTGAGATTTGTTAATATCATCATAGTGAGGACATAATTCTTTTAACTGTTATAAAGAGTTATAATTGACCAAGTCTATACCTTTAATAGGTGCCTAAAGAACCTACCCTCATGACTCTAATTTGCTAGAATAGAAAAGACTGTCTTTATAGGCCCTCTGTCAAGTAGACTTTCGGTGGGGCCTAGATAAGATGAAGCAGGCTCTCTCCTTTCTTTTAATAGTAACTGATTGTAAACATGCAAGAAAATCTGTCCAAGAAGAGGCTATGATTCCACTACAACTCCCCTTCAAACATATATGATGAGGCTAGTAGATAAGCATAGTAATGACAATAGTATTTTTGAGACTGATACAACTTTTCCAACTTAAATGCAGGCATGCCTGAGAATTTACATTTACTTATGCCTCGGATCTTCCAAGAGCATAGTCAAGATTCTCAAGTTTTAATTACTGAATCCATTTTACATTCTTATGCAATAAAAAATGAAGTCAATAATAAGTATAGACTGAAATTATATCCATCATCTTAAGAGATTTAACTTTTAACTGGGAATGTGCCTGCTTCGTAAAACCTTGCCATTAGCCAAGTGTGGTAAAGTGAAATTATATTTATAAAACATTTTTAAGTGTTATGGTATTGATTATTTTAAATTATTGTTTAGCTTATATTTTCTGTATGAGTAAAGGCATTATCCTATATTTAAAGTACATGAAGGATTAACTGATTCTCAATGTCATTCACTTACGAAGCAGGACTTCCTCTAAGGCAGAAGCTGAAATTGAGAAGGAAACACTAGATTAGATCAAACATGAGAAATCTGTGTTTCTTGTCCTTAATAATATTTGTAAAAAGCTGTCTAGGTGGGAAATCTGAAGTACAATGTTAAGATGGTTCTTTCGAATGGGACCATATGGAACCTGGGGAGTAACAGAAGGTTAATTTGAGATTCTAGCATCATGATTACTAAATTAGACATCTTCTTCCACTAGGTGGCATCTTACAGTAACAAGCCTTAATAGATTTGAGATTTTTGCTTGTTTGATTTTTAGATGAGTAGAGAGATATATACATACATAAATTGATTGACTTGACTGAGCACTTCTAAGTCTCGGAATTTACTATTAAAATCTCATGAAAAAGACAACAAATACAAACATATACATATATAATTTAATTACTGAAGCATTATATAGCACACAATCTAATGAGATAATACATTAAGTAAATTAGAATATTTGTATTAAATAATAGCTGTTCAAAGTATGTTGCAGAGAATTATTTTGACATGGAAAATGGTTCATGATATATGATAGAGCTAGTTAAACAAACAGTATTTTTCACACAATTTTTATAATGCTGATCTATATGAAATAGATAAACAGCAAAAACGTATAACTGCACAATTATTAAAAATGATCACTTTTGTTTGCATGTTTCAAGATGTCATCTCTTTAGTCCTTTAACTGGAGTTTCATGTTTTTCTAAGATTTTAAAACTTGCAATCAAAATCTCATACAAAGTACATATCCCATTGCTTCCACAAGGGACCACACGAAATCTAAAATGTTCAAGATTTTATAATTTTCTAAATAAGAATAAAAGCAAGAAAATAATACAAACCTGTTGATTAATAAGGTAATAGAATTACAAACGTGTTTTTCACCAAAAATAAAATAATAAATATCAAAACCATTTTCTATAATGCTAATGACACTATAAAGGAAGTCAGTTAAGTTCTATTATTTTCAGAAGTAACCTTGAGAAAGTATTATTCCCTGTCACAATTTGTATACTTTCTCAAATCGTATGCTCTTGTTTTTGATGGAGAATACCAGAAATTCATGCTGTCCTCATGATAAATACAAACGATCATGATAAAAATATAAATTATTAAAATCCAATAAAACCTAGGTAAATATAAATATTGGCTTATAAATATAATTCTTTATTAAAAGTGTTATCGCTTTTGGAGGCAATGGCTGTTTTGTGATTGAAGTGGGGAATATACAAAGGGAGCTGAAACATCTGGTCATATCAGAAGGAAGGAACTGCTCAAATATTATGGTAACATATTAAAAAGAAAGAGGAGCAAGCTTAGAAGGCCCAAATGTAGGAAAGTTGGCACCAAAAAAATTATAAGAATGAAGTACAACCCATTGAATTAAAAAAATCCATGAGTCTATACTGATAGATAGATGATAGATAACAGGTAGGTAAATAGATAATAGATAAATGAATGTAGCATTTTTATATTAAAATTGCCATCTAAAAATGTAAAAGCAATTACATAGTTAGAACAACACATTTTGGACCATTACTAATAATTGAGTTAGGCAAGATAATCAATGGATACTAAAATAGTGAAGTTATGAGGAACAAACTACATATATAATAACTTTAATGGGTACTCCAGAAACTAATTAGGAAAAAATAACAAACACACAATGGAGATATCTGGGAAGCATCATCTTCACCAAGTGATCCAAGTTAGCTTCACACCAATAATAGGCCAAATTAGCATCATATTCTTGCTTAGAATACACACAGAAGAATACTATTTTTCCTGCAGAAAGTGAATGATTTGAACAAAAACTTTGAGGAATATTGTACACTCTTAAATTGTTGGACATTATGCTGAAGAACTCTTCAAAACATCAGTATTCAGAAATGCACAAAAAGGCTGAGTAAATATTATAGATGCAGGAGACTAAAGACAGATGACAATAGATATAATGCATAATCTTGGATTAGGTCCTGAACTTGTGTGGTTGGAGGGAGAATATTGTATATTAGAGAAAAGAAATGTGTCAATGCAATATTAAATTTTCTGATTTTAATACTTACATTGTGGTCAAGCTAGTGGGAATTAGTTTTTTCTTACTAAGAAAAATCAGAAATTTAAAGTTAAATATTATGCCTACACTTCAATCTCAAATGGTTCAAAAAATAAAAATTGTATAAAGATAATAAGACTAATAATAATGTTAACACATGCTGAATCTGCATGAAAATAAGTGGGAGTTCTTTGCAAAATTTGTGACACTGTCTGCAAGTTTAAATTTATTTCATAATTAAATTCTAGAAACAGGTAACAAATCTTGGGAACTTGAAGGGGCATATCTAATAGGGACAAAGACACAGCCTTTATCTTGGTTCATTTTCAGACAAAAGTTCAAATTTTTTTACTTTTCTATCATACTTCAGTTCTTGACAGACTGCCATTAAGGAATGGGAGGCAACCAATCATGGGTCACAGAATTCATCCTGGTGGGATTCCAGCTCAGTGCAGAGAGGGAACTGCTCCTCTTCTGGATCTTCTCCCTGTTATATATTTTCAGCCTGATGGCAAATGGCATGATCTTGGGACTCATCTTTCTAGACCCCAGTCTGCACACCCCCATGTACTTCTTCCTCTCACACCTGGCGATTATCGACATGTCCTATGCTTCCAACAATGTTCCCAAGATGTTGGCAAATCTGCTGAATGAGAAAAGAACCATCTCTTTTGTTTCATGCATACTGCAGACATTCTTGTATTTGGCTTTTGCTGCTACTGAGTGCTTGATTTTGGTGGTGATGTCCTATGATAGGTATGTGGCCATCTGCCACCCTCTCCAGTACACTATCATTATGACCTGGAGAGTGTGCATGATGTTGGCTTTCATGTCCTGGTCATGTGGGCTTGCCCTGTCCCTGGTACATGCAATTCTCCTTCTAAGGTTGCCCTTCTGTGGGCCCCTCCATGTGAACCACCTCTTCTGTGAAATTCTGTCTATCCTCAAGCTGGCCTGTGCTGACACCTGGGTTAACCAAGTGGTCATATTTGCTGCCTGTGTGTTTGTCTTGGTCGGGCCTCTTTGTCTGATGCTGGCCTCCTACATGCACATCCTCTGGGCCATCCTGAAGATGCAGACAAAGGAGGGCCGCAGAAAGGCCTTCTCTACCTGCTCCTCCCACCTGTGTGTGGTTGGACTCTTCTTTGGCATAGCCATGGTGGTCTATATGGTCCCAGACTCTAATCAACGAGAGGAGCAGGAGAAAATGCTGTCCCTGTTTCACAGTCTCTTTAACCCAGTGCTGAACCCCTTGATCTACAGCCTGAGGAATGCTCAGGTGAAGGGTGCCCTCCACAGAGCACTGCAGAGAATGAGGTCTATGAAAGGAGTGGACAGAGTGTTAGTTGGATAGGGCTTTGCTTTTAAACCTATGGTTTGCTCAAGCAAAAACTGAGAATTTCTTTCCAGTTAGAAGTTTGATATGAATATGTTAATTTTTCTAATTCTAGCTCTGAAAATAGGACAAGGTTACAGTGAAAAAATAACATATTATGTTTTACACTACCCTTCCCACTGAAAACTCTATGGAGTGTGAACCCAGTTTCTGGATTAAATTTCTTGTTGAGAGTCACTCCTATTTGGAGAGTGGAAGACATCGAAAAGCTATTTTCCTTTGGAATTTGCATCATTTTCTCAGCATTTTATTGCAAATCTCCCATTTTGAAAGAAAAGCAAAATAAAAGCAAGCAAAAAGCAATATAGTTTAGAATGCATATAAATAAAATAGAAAAATGAAAAAATAAGAAAATCAATGAAAACAAAAGTATTTCTTTGAAAAGATTAAGAAAATTGATAAACTTTAGCTAGATTTACCAACAAAAAAATGAAAGACTCAAATTGCTAAAATTAGGGATATAGAAAACATCATTAGCAATCTTACAGATATAGAAAGGATTATAAAAGAACACTGTGAACAACTCTATGTGAACAGTTAGAAACTTACATAAAAGGAAAAATTCCGAGAAAGATACAATCTACCAACTCACTCAAAATAAATAATCTGAATAGATTTCTAAAAAGTAAAGAAGTTGTATTAGTAATTTAAAAACTTGCACCAAATAAAGTTGTCAATCACATTGCTGTAATAGCAAATAATAACTTAATTTTTAAAAATAATACGATTTCTTCATAAAAATCTCCCCAAAATGTAAGAAAATGGAACATTTCCCAACTTATTCTATGAGGCCAGTATCACTTGATACCAAAACCAAAGACATCACAGGAAATGAAAACTATAGACCAATTTCTTTATGAATATTGATGGAAAAATCCTCAACAAATATCAGCAAACCAAATGTAGCAAACATAATTACCAAATGAGATTTATTCAAAGAATGAAAGGTTGTTTAAACATTTAAACCTCAATGTAATAGACCATGTTAATAAAATAAAGAAAATAAAACATCTCATTATATATACTAAAGGCGTTTGACAATTCCAAAATCCTTTCCTGACCCCCTCCCCAAGTCCCTGCCACACACACACACCAGATGAGAAATATAAGGGAACTTCTTCAAGCTGATAAAGGGTAGATAAGAAAACCACAGCTAAAATTACAGTTAATTGTTGGACTGGGATGCTTTCCTTATAAGAAACATCATCAAAGAAGTCCTTTGTTGCTGCTTCTCTTTGGCATTAGAATGGAAGTTCTAGCCAGAGCAATTAGATGAGAAAAAGAAATAAAAGGCATCCAGATTGGAAAGGTGTAAGGTGAAATGATCTTGTGCAGAGAAAATTCTTAGGAATTTCTTAAAAATCAGCTCAAACAAATAAATTCCACAAAGTTGCAGAATAAAAGTTTCATACTCAAATATCGGTTGTATTTCTGTCAAGAAACTGAGTTTGACACATCCAATTTTTCAAGTGTGTGAGTAACCAACTTAAGCAACTAGCTAAAATGAAAGCAACAGTCAAGTGTTTAATCATTTTCTCTGATAGCATAAGCAAAATGACGTAGAGTAAGTTCCAACTCCCACACTGTTTCATTTATCCCTGTGGAGCTGCACTGGGCAAAGGTTGGGTGGGTCAACACAGAAGCAGGGATCATCTCACTGCTGAAAGAGCCCCAGGCAAAAGGACCTAATATTTTATGGGCCTGAGAATACAGGAGAGGAGAGAAGAGGGAGAGAGAAAGGGGCTAGGAGTAGAAACATACTAAATACTGAGTCAGAGTAGAAGACACATACAGGTGTCTTCAGGGTCTCCCCCTCTCCCCATAAGATCTAGGCCAGGCTTGTCTAACTCAACTCACTCAAAAGTAAACAGATAATCTGAATAGACTTATAATAAGTAAAGAAGTTGAATTGGTAATTTTAAAACTTACATCAAATAAGGCCATCAATCACATTGCTGTAATGGCAAATTATACTTAATTTTTAAAAAGAATAATTAATACTATTTCTTCATAAAAATCTCTCAAAATAGAAGAAAATGGAACATTTCTCAACTTATTCTATAAGGCCAGTATCACTTGATACCGACTAATCAAAGAAATCACAGGAAATGAAAGCTATGTTTCCAAATTAATCAAATGCTATTAATCAAATGCTTGATGTGGCTTTTGGGGTATTCAATAACAGGGACAAGGCTGAAGAGGCTGAAAGAACACTGTGTGGCAAATGATGGGATAGACAACAAGCCTAAATGATAGCAGTCACTTAAGCAGCACCCTGCAACCTCAGGGTTACCCAGGGGGATATTTCACCCACAGACCAAACTAGCCTAATAGCAAACCTGCAGGTAATTGTTGCTATTTCAAGTGTGGGAAGCCAGGACATTGGAGGAAGAACTATCCCAGTCAGGGCAGCCCACTCAGACCCTGTTCTCAACGTAGGCAGCAACGTCATTGGAAAAGGGATTGGCCCGAGCTGTGAAGGAAGAGGAAGACACCTTATGCCATAATGGCCCTAACTGAGGACTGGCGGCCATAACTGAGGGCTGGAGGGTCCAGAGGTTCCTAATGGCTCCCACAAAAGGCATAGTAAGGAGTCTTGGATGACTCTTAACATGGCAGGTAAGAGTATTAATTTCTTAATTGATATGGGGTCCAGTTACTCTGCCCTAAATGGCCACCCTGGGCTCTTATCCTCCAAAAGCTGTACTGTTATGGGTGTTGATGGCACCCTAAAATCAAAGATCAAAGCATTTCTCTACAAAAGCATTTTTATCTAACTTAATCATAAAGACACTGTGTTTAGGTTTTGGTCAGTAAAATTCCTAATCTTTTAAAAAATAAAATGTGCCGGTTAGAATGGCGATCATTAAAAAATCTGGAGGCAACAGATGCTGCAGAGGATGTGGAGAAATAGGAACACTTTTACACTGTTGGTGGAAGTGTAAATTAGTTAAACCATTGTGGAAGACAGTGTGGTGATTCTTCAAGGACCTGGAAATAGAAATACCATTTGACCTAGCAATCTCATTACTGGGTATATATCCAAAGGATTATAAATAGTTCTATTATAAAGACACATGCACACGTATGATCACTGCAGCCCTGTGTACCATAGCAAAGAACTGGAACCAACCCAAATGACCATCAATGATACACTGGACTAGGAAAATGTGGCACATATACATCATGGAATACTATGCAACCATAAAAAACAATGAGTTTTTGTCTTTTGTAGGGACATGGATGAATCTGGAAATTATCATTCTCAGCAAACTGACACAGGAACAGAAAAACAAACACCGCATGCTCTCACTCATAGGTGGGTGTTGAACAATGAGAACACCGGGACACAGGGAAGGGAGCATCACACACTGGGGTCTATTGAGGGGGGGGACCAAGAGAGGGACAGTGGGGGCAGTGGGGAGGTCAGGGAGGGATAACATGGGGAGAAATGCCAGATGTAGGTGACAGAGGGATGGAGGCAGCAAACCACATTGCCATGTGTTTTGTCTATGCAACAATCCTGTATGATCTGTACATGTACCCCAGAACCTAAAGTCCAATAAAAATAGAACCACCACATGTGAGAACATGTGGTGTTTGATTTTCTGTTCTTGTGTCAGTTTGTTGAGAATGATGATTTCCAGATTCATATATATCGTTATAATTATAAGTGAGTAACTATAAGATTATATATGATTTTATAAAGGAATAACTATGTGCCTACATTTCTAATTCTTTTCTAAATCAATATTTATATGGGAACAGGCTGAGGCTTCAGACCCTTGCCACAGCACTTGCAGGGTTTCCCCACTACATTTACGGAAAGTGCCAAAGAGGAAAACAAAAACTGCCAACCAAGAATACTTAAATGGCAAAGCTGTCCTTCAGAAATGAGGGAGAGATAAAGACTTTCCCAGACAAACAAAAGCTAAGGCAACTTATCACCACTAAACATGCCTTACAATAACAGCTGAAGGGAGTTTTTCAACCTAAAAGAAAAGGACCCTAATTGGTAACATGAAACATGAAAGGAGATAACTTAATGGTGAAAGAAGTACAAAGTCTAATTCAGAATACTCTAATACCATAATGGTGGTGTGTTAATTACTTAGATCTTTAGTTTAAAGGTTAAATTATAACCTATAAAATTTAAAGGTTATAATTTAACCTTTAAACTAAAGATCTAAGTAATTTATCAAGAAAATCATCAAGAAATCAATAAAATAAATTATAAATTATTAAAAGTTACTACAATAATTTGTTAAGGGATATGTAACATAAAAGATGTAAATGATGACATCAAATACTCAAAATGTGTGGGAGCAGGGAGTAGAATAAAAATGTAGTGCTTTCTCAGAAATCTGTGGGACAAAAAATAAAAAATAAATAAATTTAAAATGTAGTGATTTTGTGACAAAAGAGAAGTTGTTACCAACTTCAAAAAACTGTTATGACTATAAGATACTTTTTGTAAGTGTTATAGTAACCACAAATCAAAAATCTATAATAGAAACTTTAAAAAGTGAAAAACAAGGAATCAAAACATACTGTTAGGGAAAATCACTTAAACAAAAAGGAAGACAATGAGAGAGGACTGGAGAAACAAAGTATAAATAAAACAACTAGAAAACAATGAACAAAATGACAGTAATAAGTCCTTACTTTATAAATAATAGCCTTGAATGTAAATGAATTAAATTCTCCATTCAGAAGGCAGAGTGGCTGAATAGATCAAAAGCAAAACTTGATGCTGCCTGCAAGAGACTCACTCACCTGTAAGGACAAACATAGACTGAAAGTAAAGGTATGAAAAAAGATTTTCCATGCAAATGAAAAGCAAAGGAGAGTAACAGCAACTATACTGATATCAGATAAAATACACTTCGAGTCTAAAACTATAGAAAGAATAAAGAAAGTCATTACATAATAATAAAGGAGTTAATTCAGCAAGAAGGTATAACAATGCTCTGATGGAGTGTGCAGTTGAAGATCTCTATAGAGTTGCTCATTTTTGTTATTTTGGTTTTTGGTGCCAGAATTTCTCATATATATATATAAACCATAATTTCTCTTATGACATAATTTTCCTTTTTTATGGTTTATTTCCTGATATATATATATATATATATATATATATATATGGTGAAAAACAAGGAATCAAAACATACTATTAGGGAAAATCACTTAACCAAAAAGGAATACAATGAGAGAGGAATAGAGAAACATATATATATATCCATTGCCCCACTTTTGGCAATGGACAGATTATCTAAGAAGAAAATGTTAAACTGTACTCCAGACCAAATGGACCTAACAAACATATACA